TGGGGCAAAGAGACATGTAAAAAAACCTCAATTGCTTCTTAGTCTTGGACTGGTTGAACCTACGTGAGTGAGAGTCCTGTGGATAGCTAACAATGGCAGCTTTTATCTTGATTTAGATTGTGCTCCTTCTGCTCCAGCATGTCAAGATAAAAGCTGCTTGGTTAACATCCCACGGGTCTCTCACCCACACCTGTTTCAACCAGTCCAAGACCAAGAAGCAAGTGCAGATTTTTCACATGTCTCTTTGCTTTGTGTGCCTCTTCCAGGTCTCCTTCTTTCTCCAGTCTCCTCTCCAGCTTCCCCTTCTTCCTGCTCATTTATACTCTTACTTGGGTGGAACAGAGAACCTCCCCATTCCCTGGGGAGCACCCTGTTACATATAGACATTCTCATAAATACTGTTACCAAGCTAACAAATACAAGATTTGTAAATAATTGGTTTTGCATGTTCCATTATGGAAATAACAGAACAAAAGTAATTTGGGGAAATTTTAAACTTTCTCTTGAGGTTTCACAAATATGTTGTCCTTCTTCATCTTGAATTGTGTAAATTAAATAATAAAACACATAAACTCATACATTGCCTGATACTGTGGCTATTGTTGCCAGCTGATGAGACTTTATTGAGTAATAAATTATCAATATTATAGGGTATTTATAATGATGAATCACATTGTTATATAATTAGAGCAAGTATATTGTGATGATATATTAACTCAATCATTCAGTATCAGATATAAAAATGTTTTCTAAATTCTGATTCCATATGATTATTTTTAACTACACTATATATACCATATCATGAGGTTATACTATGAAAGCTCAGAAAAAAACTATTTTTATTTAATTCTTCTTTACAATTGAGAATGAAAAATTTGGGAAAACAAAGTTGAATTTAGTTCTGGTTTCAACATATTTCAGATGTATTTTGTACTAATTTTCTAAATCTTAATAATTATTGTAGAACTCAGTTTTACCACCTGTAAAGTGAAGGAAATGATGGTTTTTGGGGGGTGTTATTATAAGGATACAATGAGTTTATATGATTGGGAGGCTTTGTACAGCAAGATACAAAGGCATGGGCCTCCCCGGTGGCACTGCGGTTGAGCGCAGTGCTGTGAAGCTGTCCGCAGCCTTGGCTGTGCAGGTTGGATCCCTGCCAGCCAGCGAGAGTCCCACATGGCACACAGTACTCTCCTGTAATGCCCGCTGCTCCCCTCAGCAGTGTATTTCATCAGTCTGCCTGTTCTGTTCCCGACTTTGCCTCTGGTGAATCCTCTCACCATCCCGAGCATCTGGCCTGTACCCCGGTTCTTATATAAATAAATAAATAAATATTTAAAAAAAAGATACAAAGGCAACATTACTTTTTGTTTTGGGGCTATGGCATGGGTGTATAGCTGTTATAGAGCAACCCCGATATTAAACGGGTTCCTGGCTGTGGGTCCTCACCCGCGCGCTTTAAAGGGACTTATGAATACTCTACTACAGACACACGCAAAAGGTTACTAAAAGGTTTATTTACAAGAGAAAAGGAAATAAGGAAAATGTACAACTCAGGGAGAAAATAGGGAAATAAAGTCTTTAATGCGTCCTACCCGATTCGACGACCTGGAAACCCAAAGTCACTCTCAGAGCTGGCTGGACACTGCGAGCTGGCAGAGAGCCAAAAATGGGGGATCCCCAAAGCCCACGTGTCTGCCTTTTATATCCACCTGGCTGCTTAACCCCACCCTCAGGTCCCAGCCACCTTCCCTTTGGTGGTGATGGGATTTGGAGTTCCCAGTGTCTTTGGCTTTGACCTGGGGTGGGGGTGGAGTCCACAAAGCCTATATGGAATTAGCTTTGGGACATCCTTTTCCCCCTAACATAACTTGCTCTAAAGCTTACCTACAGTTTTTTTGAAGCATGGTGAACTGGGATAAGCAACCTGGAGACCTTAGTAACAACCTTTAACTCAGTTCCTGGTATGCAACTTAGTCCCTGATATGAATCTTATTTTTTTAATAAATCTTTTTTTTAAAGATTTATTTATTTTTATACAAGAGCTGGGGTACAGGCCAGAGGTGTAGGTGGGTGAGAGAATCCAGCAGAGACAGAGCAGGGGAGCAGCAGGTGCAACAGCAAAAGTCTGCTTTGTCGTGTGTGATTCTCGCCAGCAGGCCAGGATTGAACCCTCATTGCAGAGGAGAGGCTGCGAGCAGCTTCACAGCAAGGCCCTCAACCTGCTGTGCCACCAGGGAGGCCCCTGATATAAATCTTAGATCATATACCACCATGAGGCAGGATGGACCTGGGGGGTCCCATGACTACTGACCCTTTACTCACCCTTGGTATGCAACTATATGACTCGCCTATTGGTATGTAGCTGTGCCATATCTTACCATGTGTAGCTGCCAATTCAAACCCACCCAGGACCTTGTAGAAACTTAAAGTGTATATAAGCCCCTGACTTTCTACAAAGGGACATCAGCCTTGGGAGGCAAATCCACTGAGTCAGCACCGGTGTATTAAACCTGCTTTTTGGTAACCCTGGTGTCCATGTTTCTTTCCATTGTGCCATATAACAGTTTTACTCAAGTTAATTAACTTTATTGTGCTTCCTTTCTTCATCTAAAAAATGGAATTGCTATTTTTATGTGATTTAATTGAGAACACATTTGTAAATTTTTCAGAATAATCCCTGTTGAATGAAAGTGTTTTCTTAATACATCAATTTCTTCATGATTAGGCTTCAAATATATGTTAGCCTTTGTGATGGTTGGTTAATTTTATCTGATAACTTGACTAGGTGATGGGTCCCACATATTTGTTCAAACATTACACTATTAAATCAATAGAGTGAGTAAAACACACTGTTCTCATCCAATCAGTGGAAAGTTTAATAGAAAAAAAAATGTTGATCATAATCTGAATCAGAGGGGACCCCTCTTACCTGAATAGCTTTAAACTGAAACATGTTTTTGTTTTGTTTTGCTTTGTTCCTGGCTTGGGATTTAACTGAAACATGAACTCTTGAGTCTCAAGCCTTCAGAACAGTGAACCAGAACTACTTCTTCAGCACTCCAGCTTACTGACTGTAGATCAAGAAGATAACGCTCTCTCTCCCTCCCCATGTCTTTAAATCTATGTATTTGTATATGTGTATCTGTGTCCAAATCTATATATTTCCATATAGGGTAAATGGTTTTCAGGCTTTTCTGCCCTCTGGCCATTAGGATTCATGCCTAATGGTGGTCACCTGCATTCGGTACATTGTTATGTTCAGTTGTATTGCTTACTTCTGTGGACCATGGCTGCAGTATTTATATTTGACCAGAGAAGCAGAGGCAGGAGAGAACACAAAAAAATGAAAGGGAGAGAATACCAGAAAGAGTCCAATAAAGAGGGAAGATTTGCCCCAGGCTGGGAGGCCTGTTGGCCTCCTGCCCACCGCCATGCACCTGATTGCTGCACCATGTGTAAAATCTTAATAAAAGCCTGAGAAAGACACTGAGGTCTCCAGGACTCTGCTGGAGTCTGTCTGCTCCAATCATAGAAAACCTGGTCTGTGTCCTTCCAGGCACTGCATTCCACCTATATGTATCAGTATTTATATATGTATCTTATTTATTGATTGCATTTCTCTGGAGAACCTTAATATATATGCCTCCAGCAAATAAAATGATACACAAATATTTTGATTCACATACAATATTTCAGTAAGTTTGGAAATGTGAAAATAATGAATACAAAGTCTAAACTGAACATGCATTGTAGCAAGTTGGTATTAAATTTATATTTTCAAAGATTTTAGAATAAAATAATAGCTCCAAAAATAAATTAGCTGTTCATTTGTTATAGAATCAAAATTTAATGATTTATTTTCCTGTTTGTTATGGAGTATTAAAGCAAGTTTAAATAAAATAAATCTTCTGGCATATTTGTTTAAATTTTATATCACATCTAAATAAATGTTTCATTTTTGCAAGTTATAGTGATGCCATTAGGTTTTAGCAAAATTGGTACTATGATCCTTCTATTGAAAAAAAATATGAGTATTAGAAAGTTTTCACAATTTCAGTGCCAAGAGGGAGCAATTTGGCCAAATGTAGAGAAAACTTATTAATGATATAATAAGTTCCAGCTGTACTCTCTTGGGGCAGCAATCTTGGGAGCAGCAGGGGACAAAGTAAAAATAACTGAAGTCTAAGTATTGAGAGAGAGAGAGAGACACTAGAGGGGGCACATCTTTGGAGATGTGATGCTTTCCCCCAAGGCAATTCTGACTTTTATTTGGAGGTCAGATTCAGGGAAGGTGGGCAAGTAAGTGGAGGAATGTGTGGAGGAATGCACTTGGTGGGGAAGTTGATTGGGGATGCATAATAGTCTGGCACAAGCTGGAGGGGGGAGTGAATAGGGTCTGTTGCTTGGGAGGGTCCATTGTTGCTGCTAATGAAAACATCCTATTTCTAGTTCTTGTTTACACTTAACTTCCTGTCAAGGTGCACTAGCTGGTTTTGCTCCTCTGGCCATAATGTCTGCCTGCTGTTCAGCAGATGTCATCCCTGGACTTTACATCTTATATTCACACAGAAGTCTGTGAGTGAGTGAGTGAGTGAGTGAGTGAGTGAGTGAGTGAGCAAGCAATCAAATTGTCCTGATGAGAGGTCCCCTGCCTAACTCTACATTTAGCTTCCTCAGCAGCAACTTTTGGCATCAACCAAAATCCCAAGTACAAGGGGGTGTTGGGGGGATTCCACATCCAGTAACAGTATTTCTGCTTTAGTTTGAAGAAAATATTTTCTAATAAGTTGATTCTTATTATTGTGATTGTGTAAGTCTTCGTTGACATTGGATTTTTTTTTTTTTTTTTTTTTTGTGGAATCATTGCTTCTAGAGGAAATGCCAAATATCAGAATACTTTTGTCAATCAATCAGTGAGTAATCTGGTTTGTATATGTTTCTGTTTAAAGTCACCCACCATATTGTTGCTGATTGGCTGGATTCTTTTGTTCTAGTGATTGAGAAATAATCACCGACACACTGGACTGAAGGTTAGCAAGCTCAGGTTTATTGCAAGAAAGACTCCTGACAGCAGGAGGGGGTCCAAGGGAGGAGCCCATTGATGTTGGCGGTAGGTTTACTTTTATAATCTGTCATCGACACGTTCCCTGTTTTGGAACTTTTCCACTACCCCATTTCCTTCATTGCCCTACTTTGCCACCCTGAGAGTGAAGCCATCACAGGCTACTGTGTGCCTCCACATGCCCTTGTGTTTAGCAGCCTCTGCTCACTAGCTTTGTGACTAGTAGCCTTTACCTGTCAGCTTTTCTGCTCCCTCAACACCCAGCCTCAGCCTGCTATCTTACAACCAGCCCTTGCCAGCCAGCTTGCAGTTAGCTATTGTGGGCCCTTTCCGAGCCAGCTAGTTCTCCTGTCCCTCAATATTAGACATGTATATATATATATATATATATATATATATATATATATATATATATATATATAGTGAGTTCATGAGCATTGAACTTATTATCAATAGTACTAAAAACATTAAAGACACATTCACAGCCTCCTTGTGCTTAGAAATACTAAAGTGTACTTCATCACTACAATTAAGGACCATTTTCATTTATTTACTTTTATCTTTTTGCTTTCCTTAGAGGCAGGACTAGTTCATTGGACTTTTCCACAGCCTAGAGAGAATAGTTCTTGAGATTGCTAAATTCCCTCTATCCTGATCTCATGCCTTCCAATAACTATTGTAGTTTTCCAGTTGTTCTGACAGTGGGAGGCAATGCCAATGTGTCCAATTGGAGAGACAAGTGAAGCCTGTCCTCAGGGCACTGACATATACATGAAGCAGAAACCATAAACAATTTCTAAAGAAAGTACACATCTTTCAGCTCTCACTCTCCTCTCGTATCTCATTCTTCTCCCTTCTTCCATCCCTGACCCCACTCAGTTCACACAACACTCCCCTAGCAGCTGAGGCATGAGGTCACTGACTTTAGGGGCCTACATACACTATGCCCTACATTTCATTCATCCCACTGGGTCCTCTTAAACCTAGCTTAGAGTTCAAGGGAGATACACATTTGGTTTTTAAGGAATTATTAAAAGTTTTTTTATTTTTTTTAATAATCATTAAATACATTTTCTTCATTTTATAATGATTGATTATGAAGTCGTTTCAGATTTATAAAGCTTGCAAGAATGATACAAATAATTGAATGATAAAAATGATACAAATGATTGACAATAGTCACCCAGATTCCCCCATTTTTCCCCTTAGATATGTTTTTAATATTTTTTATTGTGGTAATATTGTTTTACAGCATTGCATATGGTTTAGAGATACAGGAACACTCCTTTCAGGTGAATCACACACAACAAAAATCTCCCTTAATCCTCCATTACAGTCCATTGTGCTCTCTCTAGCCTTTGCACTTCCCATTCTCCCTCTGCCACATGGTAGTCTCAAATCTGCAGTCAGATTTCTTGGGTTAGCTATTCATTTGTTTTAGTTGACCCTTTGTTTTGTTTCTCTGTATTCCACATATAAGTGACAACACCAAGTCTATGTGTTTCTCCTACTGACTTTTTTGCTTAACATAATCCCCAAATGAATATTTTAGTTTTGTTGAGATACAGTTGAAATATAACACTATTCATGTTTAAAGTATACAGTGTAATGATTTGATTTGCATATATAATAAAATTATTATCCTGATAAATGTAGTATTGTTACCTCATACAGTTATATAAATAAAAAAATACTTTGCCTTGTAATGAAAACTTATGGGATCTACTTTTTTAGCAAATATTGTCTATTTAAAATAGACCATATGGTACAGTGAACTATAGTCCTCATATACATTATATCCCCCTATTCTTATTTATCTTGTTAGTAAATGTTTGTGCCTTTGGCCACCTTCAGCATTTTAAATTGTATTTTAAATGATGTTTCTTAAACAGCAAAATCAATGACAGAAGCACATATAAAAAAGCAAAACATGGCAATAAATATACCACAAAAGATACATATTTATAGTGTGAGAGCTGAAACAGGAAGGCAGATTGCCACCTTATTTGACCTCAGTCTCATATCCTTCCATGCATGTCTGTGAAAATGAGGCAAGTGTTAATTTTAGTACTAAAGATGACTTCTGATGAATAGAAATTTCACAAATGCACAATCCATGAATAATGAGACTCAGCTGTATTTCTACACTTGAAATATTTTCAATGATTTAATATTGCTATAAGTAATTTTTATAATTAAGTGCATATTCTTAAAATTTCTTACATAATGGAATATTACTCAGCAATCAAAAAGATAAATGCATGCAATTTGCAGCAACATGAATGGAGCTGTGAGGGATCATGCACAGTGAAATAAGCCAGAAAGAAAAAGAAAAATAGTGGGCAGACTTGCTCATAGTAGGAATTTAGAAGACCAGGAAAATGACTAATTATAGTAAAGTAAAAATCAAAATCAACAAGGAACTATGAAGAAAAGACACACTACTGGGGGGCGGGGGAGTAGGGATTAGGGTCAAGATAAGGAGGGTGGGAATTGTATGGGGAATATAACCAAGATGAAAATGCATACATTGTGCAAAAATGAAAAATGATGTAAACATATATAAAATAAAATAAAAATGAAATAAAATTTTCTTAGAACATGAATTTTAAAAATTATTTGAATCATAGTGTAGAAAACTTGAAGATATTTTATTGGCACAGATGCAGATAAATTCATTTGGAATAACATGAAAATTAGAAGAATAATTTTGAACAAGTGAGATATAAAGATTGTAAATAATTATGACTCTGGAAATAAAATTTAAGGAATCCCAAAACATGGACAAATTTACATGTTTAGATTGCATATCTCTATTGATTCAAAGCAAATGGAGTTTTGTGTCCAAAAACATTCTTAGCAGAGACTATAAATCTTACTATTCTGCTTATTATGTTGTTTGCAAAGTAAAGGTGGAAATCTACACATTTTATTCATATGCAACTGAAGTAGTCACTTTGATGTCAGTAATGAAAAACCACAGCAATTTCCTCCTTTCCTCAATATTATTTGAACCATGACTGGAGAGCTATTGTTAAGTCATGTAATCTTAGTACAATATCCTTGAAGAAGTGGTCATGGGAGGATGCTAGCATGTTAATGACTATGGAAATGGAAAAAAAAAATTCCAATTATTAGAAAATAATTAATAGTAAGGGTAGAATATTATAAAGAGATAAATTTCCCAATTAGACACACCTGACTTGAAAGCCCATCACCACTACTGTGAAAGTGACTCATTAATGAACTTTCCTGAGCCTCATTTTGCTCCTAAATAGTTGGATATAGAATACAACAGTAACTGCTGCCATTACTTTTGGAGGAACATTATCTCCCTTAGAATACAATTGTGCCATGTATGAGTTTGTGAAAACTATTGTCTTCTTAAAATGCACCCTTCACATCTGTTTATAGGTTATGATGAAAGGATTACCCTGTATAAGCCATTTGCAAAAACATTATTTATTTATTTATTTATTTGATTTTTAGGTTTTATTCATTTATTCATACATACAAGAACCAGGGTAAAGGCCAGATGCACGGGAGGGTGAGATGATTCACCAGAGACAGAGCCGGGAACAGAACAGGCAGACTGACGAAATACACTGCTGAGAGGAGCAGAGGGCACAACAGGAGTGGTCTGCTTGACATGCGGGCCCCTCCTCGCCAGCCGGCCGGGATGGAACCAGAGCAGCAGAGGCTGTGGACAGCTTCACAGCGTGTCCCTCAACCGCCTGCGCCACCAGGGGCGGCCCAGCAAATACATTTTTTACACTAGATTGAACAGTATAACTAATGGTAAAAAGTTTTTGGAAACATTGTAAAGGCTGAAGTAACAAATTATATGCTTATTTTAATAGAACATAATTTACCATGGGCTACAGAAGGTAGCTAAAGAAGGTAGAATTTAGCCAATGTACAGGGGTGTCAAGTGATAGTTTAAATTCTCATACTACAGGGGACTGACTTTGGTGACGGTGCATGGGTGAATTGGTGAAGGAGATTCTATGGGACTACACCCTAGTGGGGGGAATAAAGGAAACATTGTTTCAAAATGAACAATGATGTAAAATATATATAAATTAAAAAATGAAAAAAACATAATGATCCATTAAAAATAATAAATTCTCAGACCTCCCTGGTGGTGCAGCAGGTTGAGTGCTGCACTGTGAAGCTGTCTGCAGCCTCTTCAGCACATGTTCAATTCCTGGCCAGCTAGGGATATACCCACATGGCATGGCAGAACTCTCCTGCCTCGTCCGCTGTTCCTCTCAGCAGTGTCTTTGATTTGTCTGCCTGTTCTGCTCCCCACTCCATCTCTGGTGAATTCTCTCACCCACCCATGCCTCTGACCTGTACCCCAGTGCTTGTAAAAATAAACAAAATCTTAAAAAATATAAATAAATTCTCATGCCAAACACAGTAACATGGACACTTAGAAGCAAGAAGCTTTGGAAACTTTTGTCATATTAAATTTAACTTTGTTTTATTAAATAGCTTATTAAATTTTGGGAAATATAAATATAAACCAAAATGAGTTCTATACTTAGCTTACAAGAATGTTTCATAAAGCCAGGCAAAGAAATCACTCTGGATTCAACAAAAATATTGCCTCTCACAATGGTTACTGTAAATGTTGACCTCAGAAGCTATTCCCTCTAAAATTAACATGTTTTCCTCTTCCCCCACGTAAATTTCACATGAATGTTGTTGCTTGGTGGATCTTAGTTTACATATAGCTCAAACTATTTAAATTGTAGGTAATTAAAATACATAAATTTAAAAAAATGGATTATTCACTTACATTAGTCCAGTAAACTTACTGTAGATACTCAGTAGGCAGAGGCAGCTAGTGGTAACTGTACTGAAGTGCAAAAATAAGCATATTTCCATCATCACAGACAGTGGTGTTTGTGATATAATTGGCTATATCTATCTATTGGAATCATTTTCTTTTTATAGTTTTCTACATTTTTTCCACATTTTGGGTCCGTGGAATATTATCTTTCTTGCGTCAAAGCTCTTATAGAAATCAGATTTATCTTATT